TACATAAAACAAACACATGTATATTAAGAAAAATTTAAAAATGTTAAAATAATAAAAATTGGAGAGAAAGAAAAAAAGAATATACAACACAACTGTAATATACTATTCAGTCATACCAGTCCTCAATATCCTAATTCATGCAAAGTACTTGCTTTCACATATGTTGGGGATGTGAGGGCAGGAGAATAAARAGGGAGAAGAAAGAAAAAAAATCTCAAAGGAAGAAATAAGGATTGTTTTGGTTGGAGATGAGAATCTTTCCTGCTTCCCTTCTCATCCAGTAGGTGGGGTTTTCTGTTCTTAGTTGGTATCTCTGCCCTCATGATGGTGGGGGTTACCAGGGTGTGAGGGTTGGTCTTGTGTGCAGGGCACCTGGAAGTGGGGTTTGGCACTCCAGTTGGGAGACTGCACCTCAAGGATCTCCTTTGGCATCTATCTGTTCCTGTCATGTGGGTGCTGGGTCTTATCTCCTTATCTCACCTGTAGACCTCACAGTTCCTGCCCTCTAAATTAGTCTCTAAAGTGTATCTCCCTCACCCCCTCCCTTTCTACTTCCTAATCAGGAGCCTTTCTCCAGAGGTTCTTGTATGTTGCACTCTGGTGGCTGTCATAGAGGGCTGTTTTTTATTGAACTGTTCCAAGTTAGCAGCTGCTGGCTATTGGGAGGAATTAGAAAACTATGGGTACATGGCTATTTGGTGTTCCAAACTGGTAGTTGCCCCAACTGAAGATGTTGATGAAGATGACCCAAGATGGAGGCAGCTGCTTTCTGTGATGGGGTGTTGGGTGGGGTGGGGTGGGGTAGCCAGGAGATGTGTTGTGGTTCAGATGAGCTCTGTAGCATGCAATGTTGCAGCTCTCAGCTTTTTTTCAGAGCTTCTGATGTCCCCAGGTGCAGGCCAGCTACCGCAAGTAGGGAACTAAGGCAGTAGCTGCCGAGTCCCAAGATGGAAGTGACCCAAGAGGAGTCCCAAGAGGGAGCCCCACATTGGTAGATGGGGGTCCACATGGGAGTGGTGGCTGGAGTTCCTGCTCATGGGTAGCAGCTGTACTTCGTGGGAGCGGCATCTGGGAATTCTGCGCTGGTGCTGATGCCAGTGGTCCCACTAAGGCACCTTGTGACCTGCGTRAGCAAGTAGTCAGGAGTCGGAAGTGCTTTTCTAAAGCTGAGGCCTCTTTGCCTTGCTCGGGATCARCTATGGGGGGTCCTCTATCACTCTCAGCAAAGCAGTATTCCCACAGGCTGAGATCCYGGTCATGGAGCGACRCAGAATGCTGTCTTCTTCTGGTCTACCATCTTGGATCTGAGCAAAAATCACATTCTTTAGGAGCTTAACTTTTTTTTATTAATTTATAAAAATGATGGAAAATAAGCCAGTTCAAAGGTTATTTAATATTCTGGATTAGAGAAGCTAATGTTTAAAATGTTGGTGGTAGCAGGTAGTGCTAACAGGTTGTGGAGATAGATTGGCCCAAGGTACTTAGTGAATGATGACAACTACATTTTAAGATTAGAGAATCAGAAGAAAACTTGGAAGGAGTGGGAAATTGATTCCATTTTTATCATCTTAAGTTGGATTTTATTACTGAATTTAAGAATTTATATTTTTTAACCAGAAACATTTATCCTTTTTTTTTTTTTTTTTTTTTTTTTTTTTTACTCAGTAAATGCTGCTACTCTTCTTTTGGGAACGGAGAATCAACATAAAATAAGTGTTCCTAGAGCGCCTACAAAAGATGAAATGTCTCTCAGAGCTTATACTGCACGGTGCAGGTTGAATAGATTACGCCGCACAGCATGCTGTTTATTTACATCTGAAAAAATGGTTAAAGCTATTAAAAAGCTTGAAATTGAAATTGAAAATAGGCGGTTAATTGTTCGAAAAGATAAACACCTCTGGAAAGATATTGGTAAGAAGGTTACTGATTAATTTTTTAAATTTAKCATTTAGTCCCTGCCCCCAGTTTTATTGAAGGAAGTATAATTGACAGATAAAAATTGTATATATTTAAGATGTACAGTGTGATGTTGATACACATATATATTGTAAGATGATAACTACAATGTAGCTGATTAACATATCTAGCACCTTACATAGTTACGCTTGTGAGGAGGATGGGTTGGTTGAGGACATTTAAGATGTATTCTTAACAGATTTCAAGTTTKTAATTCAGCTTTGATAACTATAATCACAATACTATACAATAGATCTCTAGAACTTATTCATCTTGCATAAATGAAACTTTGTACCCTTTTGATAAGCATCTCCTCAGCCCTTGGCAACCACCRTTCTCTCTGCTTCTGTGAATTCAATGTTTTTAGATTACATGTGCAAGCAAGWTAATACAGTGATTGTTTTTCCTTTCCTGGCTTATTGCACTTAACATAATGTCCTAYAGGCTTATCCATGTTGTGAAAAAAGACAGTATTTCCTTCATCTTAGAGGCTGAATAGTATTTCATTATGTGTATAGACACAACACATTTTCTTTATTCTTTCTTTCATTGGTGGATACTTAGATTGTTTCCACATCTTGGCTACAGTGAATAATGCTACAATAAATATAAAAATAAAATTATCTCTTCCAGACACTGATTTCATTTCGTGTGTGTGTGTGTGTGTGTGTGTGTATGTGTGTATGTGTGTGTATAGATAGATAGATATATTTTTTGTTTCAAAGCTAAATTTATTTGCTTTAGCTTTTCTGCCCCAAATCTCACATACATAAATATAATCATGTATAGTTAAGAATAGAAGTATTTTTCATTTTTCAATTTGCTTCATATAAGTGATTATTCTTTTTTTTTCCACTGATATCTTTTCCATGGAATTTTATCCTCTTTATTTAATTAGTGATCTGAACTTRTCTTTCTTTTGATCTATATTTCAGGAGAACGTCAGAAAGTCTTGAACTGGCTATTATCCTATAATCCTTTGTGGCTTCGAATTGGCCTAGAGGTGAGCATATGTTTTAGTTTTAAACAGTTTATTTTTCAATTATATACTTAGAATATTCTTTAATAAAATGTGGTTTTATTCATAGAAGTTATAAAATTATTTGTTTAGCTTGACTCATCTTCAATATAAAATATAAGGTCAACTAGGAAATACTGATTAGATAAGTAAACCATGTCATTATTTATTATTGACATATTGTTACAGAGTAATTTCTATAGTCTTTTTCTTCTTTCTTTCTGGTTTTTTTTTTTTTTTTGGACTGGAGATTGAACACTTTACCATTCAGCCACACCTACAGCCTTTTTTATTTTTTATTTTGAGACAAGGTCTTGCTAACTTGTTTAGGGCCTTGCTTAATTGCTAAGGCTGGCCTCAAACTGCCTCAGCCTTCCAAGCCACTTGGGATTACAGTTGTGTCACCACCATGCCCAGCTACTTCTGTAGTCTTTTAAATATACATAATGTGATCTTGGCTGTAATGAACCTATAGTATAGTAAACTAATTTTTTGAACATTTATAAATGAAAAGACTAGGCTGTATAAAACATATTTTCTAATTTAAGTCTCTTTAAAACTCAATGAGATGTRTATTATTATTTTTACTTCTCTAACAAAGTGAAAGCTATGATATTAAGTGACTTGTAAAATGCCAGTAATTGGTCAAGCCTTGTACCTACAACTGTCTGAGCCAAATCACAACTTTCCAATTATTTGATGGACTACTACTTAAAAAACGTCATCCAGATTTGAGTTATTACATAGTACTTGTTAACTATTATAACATTTTGAATAATTAGGGTTCTGTTATACTTTCATGATATCTGTAGTGGCATGGTTATAATTAAATTTGAACAATGTTCCTATACTTTTTAAAATTTTTGGTACTGGAGATTGAATCCAGCAGTACTCTACTCCAATACTTTTTATTTTTTATTTAGACTGGGTCTTGCTAAGTTGCTGAGGCTGGCCTCAAATTTGTGTTCCTCCTGCCTTAGCCTCCAAGTAAATGAGATTACAGGTATATATCACTGCCCCCAGCAGTGATATATACCTGTAATATTCCTTTAAATTTTAAACATAAATGTAAATGCTCCTTGTCAGATGATTAAAAATTTATCTAAGTTCTAAGTTTTGTCTTTTTTTGTTGTGAAGTAAACATTTAAAAATGCATAAAATATATATGTACAGTTKTAAAGGGTTATTTACTGAATGACTGTGTCATTTCCTTACTGTTTAGGATATAGACTATTACCAGTTCTTTAGAAGATTGTTGTCTACTCTTCTCCAATAGCGTTTCATTCCTTTTTTGAGGTAGTATGATTCTGACTTTAGGTTTTAATTTTTTGTTTTTAGACAATTTATGGTGAACTCATATCTTTGGAAGACAATAGTGATGTCACAGGGTTGGCTATGTTTATTCTGAATCGCTTGCTTTGGAATCCTGATATAGCAGCTGAATATAGACACCCTACTGTTCCTCATTTATACAGAGATGGTAAACATTGCTGCTTCCTTTGCATTTTCTCCACACWATGCACAAATGGCTTCTAGTTATTCTTCCTGTTTCTATTTATGTTTTACTTTCTTAAAGAAACCAGTCTAAATAGGTCTGTTTCCACTGCCTTCCTTTCCCTTATTCCCATTATTCCTCTTCACTATGTATAATTATTACTACTATTTGTTGTCTCTATCCATCTTCTCCCTCCAGTAGGTTATAAATCCTATTCAGATTATATTTGTCATGCTTTGCTACTGTATATATAGTGCCTAGGACAAAGCTTGCAAATAATAGGTGCTTCTTAAATGTCAGTTGAATGAATCCAGCTAAATCTCCTCATGTGCCCATTTTCCTTATCCATGAATTGAAAATATTAAATGGTACCTCTTATGTAGAGTTGTTGTATAGGTTTATTGAATTCATATATGTAAAACACTAAGAAAGGCACATAGTGTGATTTTTTTTATTTGTTTGCTACTACTTTTTTCATGTTTTAAGTGAAACTTGCCTTTCATGGMTGAATTTGTTATTATTATTTTTTTAAATATTTTTTCTAAGGTCATGAAGAAGCTTTGTCCARGTTCACATTGAAAAAGTTATTGTTGTTGGTCTGTTTCCTTGATCATGCTAAGCTTTCCAGACTTATTGAGCATGATCCTTGTCTCTTCTGTAAAGATGCTGAATTCAAGGTATAGTTTTCATTTTATGTTATATATTTCAAATTTCCCATTTAAGACTTTTCTTGATCTTATGGCATATTTTCTGTTGAGAATGAACATTAACTTTGTTTTTTTTTTTTTTTAGCTGTTGATGAACCTTTTTTTTATTCATTTATTTATATGTGGTGCTGAGCATCAAACTCATTGCCTCACACACGTGGGGCAAGTACTCTACCACTGAGCCACATCCCCAGCCCAGAAAGAACATTAACTTTCTAGAGACTAATATGTTAGAATATAATATGAATGAATGTTTATTTAGTGAATCCCATCAGTAATTCTACCTTGTCTGATTTTTTTTTTGGTTAACCTGTCACCAGTACATCATTATTACTCTTAATTTTGACATGAAAATGAACTAAACTATGTTTCTAAGAAATTAATTTTGAGGAAAATTTCTTACCTAATTTTGATGTAGTATATTATCAAATTAATGCTAGGTTTTGTAGTATGTTATTAATTATGAGCAAATTTTAAAGAGAACATAAATTGAAAATGTATGATATTTGCAGTTTTAACATTTGATATGAAACTGAAAATGTTTTTATACTATAATTAATTTTATGTCTATATGTACAGAATGACCAAAAGGATTTGCTTTTATTATATAAAAAGTTATACTATTGAAATATTATATCTGCAACCTGTTTCTTTGTAGGCTAGTAAGGAAATCCTTCTGGCTTTTTCACGAGATTTCCTAAGTGGTGAAGGTGATCTCTCCCGTCACCTTGGCTTTTTGGGATTGCCTGTTAGCCATGTTCAGACACCATTTGATGAATTTGATTTTTCTGTTACAAATCTTGCTGTAGATTTGCAGTGTGGAGTGCGTCTTGTGTAAGTATAAGAAATAGAATCATTTTGCTAATGGAATAGACTAAAATTTTTTGGAAAACATCGTACTCTGTATTCATAAATATATTTTTTTTTGTTCTTTCTTGTAATGGAATAAATTTAGGGTTGAAAAAAATTGAGATTTCTCTTTCAAAAAAATGATATCAGTTTTATGCCCAAAAACTTTTCTCCTATCACACTTTTTTTTCTGTTGGCATGTGACTTGAGTACATGCTCTGCAGTACATGGTTAGGAACTACTGATATCTCAGAAAAGGACTGGGAAAGAGCATGAAACTAATTAAAACATGAAACACTTAAATACATTTTATATCAACAGTAGCTTCATGAGTTCCATTATCATTTCAGACTAGCTTTAGTAGCATTTACTTTGTTTTAATGTTTGATTAAAATCAGATGAAGTGATAGAATGACTTGCCCAAGTTTTATAGAGTAAAATGGAGATATAGACTCTTTCATGCCTGACTTTAAATTACAGAATATTTACCAAATAATAAACTGGAATCCCTCACAATTGGCTATGATTTTAGTAATGGATTGCTTATTTCAGCTTTGGAAGGCCTGACTTTGACCATGTACTTCAGTTAGTCTCTTTAGAATTTCTGGATTGGAGACAATAGTCTTATTTCTAGGGAACTCTCCAATATGTTATACCCTTATCAAGGAAACACTTTGGGGGTTAGAGAGAGAGAGAGAGAGAGAGAGAGAGAGATTTAGTTATAGGTGGGCACAATATCTTTATTTAATTTATTTACTTCTATGTGATGCTGAGAATCAAACCCAGTGCTTCACACATGCTAGGCAAGTGCTCTACCACTGAGCTACAGCCCCAGCACCATTATATATGTTTTTTTTATGTGTATTTGAATTTCAAACCAGCCAGTTAAACTAGTAATGGGTTGGTCTATTGTTGCAGAAATGTTTCCTACATTGATTGGTCTAGGATGATCTTAAGTCATTTTCTAGCCTTTAGAAACTATGATTCTGTAAATAATTTTGCCACCTTTTAGTTATATACAACATCAGATGAGGCTTGCTTTTTCTGTGGAAATATTGACTATTGTGTAGTGGATAAAATATTGGTAACCTAGATGATATTAGGAATTTGAATTCAAGCTCTGGAGTACATGTCTTTTTTAGGTAGACATTCAAATATGTTTATTGTATGCATTACTATTATACACACAAAGAGAGAAAGAGAATTCGACCAACTGTAGTTATGGAAACTGATGAAACAAGATTTTAATTGCTGTCTTATTTCTGTCATAGCAGTATATGATGATGAATTAGATCGATTATTAACTTCCTCTGGGCCTCTGTTTCTTTCTCTGTAAAAAAAAAAAAAAAAAAAAAAAAAGGCCACTAATACCTGACTATGGGATTTACCATGATGACTAAAATACAAAAACAAAAAAAACCACTTAACTTGATTAATAGATTATAGCACACCTTAATACATGCCTCCTTCTTCTTATCCTTCCTCTCCTTCCTTTTTTTCTTTCTCTGTAGAAGTTTATTATTTTGTTGATATGTATGTATATTTTTGTGTATGTTTCAGTTTTCTTATCATTTTATTCATGGATTTCCATATTTAAAAAGTAAAAATGAAAAACAGATACTCATTAACTATGGAGCAATACAGTTTTGGAGTCTTTTTGACCTTACTCTCTTTAAACTCTTGGGATTTATGTGGGTAATAACTATTTTTAAATGAATATTTCTTTTCATATATATTGTTACATAGCAAATTCATCTGAAAATTTCTTTACTACTAGGCGAACCATGGAACTTCTCACACAGAACTGGAATCTTTCAAAGAAACTCAGGATTCCTGCAATAAGTCGTCTTCAAAAAATGCACAATGTTGACATTGTTCTTCAAATTCTTAAATCACGAGGAATTCAATTAAGTGATGAACACGGTAAAAACTGAACAGAGAAATACTTATTCTCATTGAATATTGGTAGATATATATATATATATATATATATATACACATGAATCATGCTAATGGACTGCATTTTTATTGGCAGGAAATTCAATCCTATCTAAGGATATTGTGGATAGGCACAGAGAAAAGACTCTTGCATTGCTTTGGAAAATTGTATTGGCTTTTCAGGTATTATACATTTGGCACATTTTGTGKTTTTTTTTATTTTTCAATTTTGATTACTAGTTTATAAAAGGAATTTGAATCAAATAAACACAATAATAACTACCACTTATTAGAATTTATTCTGTCTCAGGCCTGTGATAATTTTTGTATGTATTCTATTTTAATATTTCTCACACATGCATTAGGTCATGTTAAGTCTCCTTCACTGGTGAGGAAACTGAAGCTCAAGTTTATATCATTGATATGTGGAACTGTGCTGAGAATCTAAGCTTGTGTGGCCCCAAATCTCATTTTCTTAACCACTAGATATTTTATCAGTGTAGATTGTAGGGTGGTGATGTAGCTTAGTAGAAGAGTGCTTGCCTTGCCTAGCATGTATGAGGTCCTTAAAGAAAATGTAGATTTTTCTGTACTTTGGGAATTTTATTTTTGGATTTTAAAATTTCTGATTAGGTTTTATTTTTTTAACCTGCAGTTGATCAAAATACAGAATACTTTAATCTGTAGGTCAAAAATAACATGATGTGGAACTAGAGAGAACAAAGGAAAAAAAAGGGGGGATAGGGTGGGGAATCTCATGAAAATAGAAGACCAGTATAGTAGAGGAAAGTGAGGCAAGAAAGGAGAAGGCAGGAGAGGAGGAAAAGGGGAGAAGGGTACTAGGAAATGGCATTGACAAATCATGTTATGGGTATGTATGAATATGTAACAGTGAATCCCACTATTATGTACAATATAAAGCACCAATAAAACATTAAAAATATAAACTAATATATGAAAAATTAAGGAATTTATCCTTTTTATATGTTTCAGGTGGATATTTCCCTTAATTTAGAGCAATTAAAGGAAGAAATTCACTTTCTAAAATACACACACAGTATAAAGAAATCATTGTCTGCAGTGTCGTGCCGCTCTGATGCTATTATTAATAAGAAAAAAGACAAAAGAAATAGTGGTTTCTTTGAACAGTATAGTGAAAATGTGAAATTATTGATGGACTGGGTAAATGCAGTTTGTGCCTTCTATAATAAGAAGGTAAAGTTTTTTTGTGGTTGTTTTTGTTTTAATTCACTATCTTTAAATAATTTTGGTTGATGTCAATTAAGCTTAATACATAAAATATTTTCTTCCATTTCTTAAATAATGTAATTTTTAGATTTAAGCAGACTTTTCCTCACATGAATGATTATATTGTTATATACTAGATTTTAACTAATCTAAGTTGTCACCAATTGGAAAATGCATGATGTAAGTTTTATATATCACTAAGGGGGAAAAATGCCCTTAATTAAGCATTTATACAGAACTGGTATATGATGTCCATTTTGTTATTATATTCTTGTTTAAAATGGCTATCAAGTGTAGTAGAAGCATATGCAGAATTCATAAGAGAAAACTGTGATGTTCCAAACAAAGTATGTACATTAAGTAAACTTTGTTTAGGCATTGAGTATWTAGTGCTGTTGGCCATGCTTTGTTTCTGACTGAATCAGAAACATRCATAGAACAATGTCATCTACAGACTGATGAAAATGTTGGGACCAGAGACTCACAGCAACTTAACTGTGTCTTTCCCCCCTGAGAAGTGGTCAGTATTCCCTATTCAGTGTTCACGGATAATGAGAATTGACTATAATTAMTGTATTTTCTTAAGAGAGCTATAACAAATTACTGCAAACTAGACCTTTATTCTATTCACAGCTCTAGAGACTTGAAGTCTGATACCATGCCTGAGAAGGGAATATGCTCTCACTAAAGTCTCTAGGGAACTGTGTCATGTTCTTAAGTACTGGTGRTTGCCAGCAGTGCTTGGTAGTTTTTGACTCATCTGTGCATTATTTCAGTCTCTGCCTCTTCCCATCTTATGGAGTTCTCCTTGTGTTTCTGTCTGTGTGTCTCTTTCTTCTTAAAAGGACACCAGTCATAATGGATTAAGAAGTCACCCCACAGGGGCTGGGGATGTGGCTCAAGCGGTAGCGCGCTCGCCTGGCATGCGTGCGGCCCGGGTTCGATCCTYAGCACCACATACCAACAAAGATGTTGTGTCCRCCGAAAACTAAAAAAATAAATAAATATTTAAAAAAAAAAAAGGCAATGGAGTACACAGTTAACATGTATTATAAAAAAAAAAAAAAAAAGAAGTCACCCCACTTGTATGACCCCATGTCACTTAATTATATCTATAATGACCTTGTTTCCAAATAAGGTCACATCCTGAGGTTCTGGGAAGGATGTGAAGTTTTGATTGATACTATCTAATCCAAGACAGTAATAATATAAAATCCTACTTTTGAAATGGTTAGGATTTAATATTTGAGAATTTGGCTGTGCATATGGTATACTAGATTCTCTTAACAATTAGTGTGATACTCTTTAACTACTAAAAGGATATAATGTTCTATGAAAGCTTATATGAGTATTTAAAAACAAGTAATTATTTTTCTGGTATTTCCAATCAGGTAGAGAATTTTACAGTGTCTTTCTCAGATGGCCGTGTGTTATGTTACCTTATCCATCACTACCATCCTTGCTATGTGCCTTTTGATGCTATATGTCAGCGTACTACTCAAACTGTGGAATGCACACAAACTGGTTCAGTGGTATTAAATTCTTCCTCTGAATCCGATGACAGTACTCTGGACATATCTCTTAAATCATTTGATCCTGGTTAGTCCTTTTTTTGTTGATCAACCTTTCTGGTTCTTTGCCATGTCTGATTTTGGGCTATAGCATTCTAATTTCTTTCTTTCTTTCTTTTTTTTTTTTTTTTCTTTACTTGCATGATAGAAAATACTTCAGAACTCCACAAAGAACTTCTGGAAAATGAAAAGAAAAATTTTTATTTGGTCAGGTCTGCAGTTAGAGACCTTGGTGGAATACCTGCTATGATTCATCATTCAGATATGTCAAATACAATTCCAGATGAAAAGGTAAATAAGGGTTTCTTAAACTCTTAATAAGTCTCAGAATATAACARTGAGTATATATTCTCTGTTGATCTTCTGTATTCATCTTTTGTGTTTTTTTAGGTGATTATTACCTATTTGTCATTTCTTTGTGCAAGGCTTTTAGATCTTCGTAAAGAAATAAGAGCTGCTCGACTTATACAGACAGCATGGAGAAAATATAAAATAAAAACAGAACTAAAGCTCTATAAGGTAATCCTAGAAAATGAAGACATATGAATTGTACTTTAAAATATGCTAGTGTTTTGGTTTTTGTTTGTTTGTTTGTTTGTTTRTTTTTTAATGGTGCTGTTGATCAAACCCAGGACATACTTGGCTAATGTTCTATCACTGAGCTACTATACAGCCTCCMGTTGATTGGTTCTTGATGTGAATTTTATATTTACTAATATATGAAGTTAAAAAGATAAATTTAATAATTGTATGTATGTGTTTTGAGGTGACATGGTGTGAATATTCTAATCACTACTATTTTCTTAATTTGATTCCTTTCCACCTCTGTCCACCCTTTCACTTAGTCTGCCCTAGGGCATGGGGAATAATGTTGTCTGCTTTGTAAATTTGTGAAGAATAACTTAGGGATGCTTGAATCAGCTCTTCTTACAGCAGGACTCTCCTTTTGATTTTTTTCAAGTTGTGCTCTGTGAGGCTTATCCTAGTGCTAGTGTTGATTGGGTCTGGACATCAAGTGTCTGATTTTGCAGTAATTAACAAGACCATTTTGTTTGTCCTGAGACCATCTTTCAGTTTATCCTTTATAAAGCAGTATTTTGGTGTCCATTATTTTATTTTTCAAAATGTTTAAGATCTGGACACAGGGATAGAGATGTTATTTATTGCTTTCTTTTGTGATCCCAACAGTACAAAATTTTTCATTAACATAAAATAGCTTCATTCTTAGGTTCTGAGAAAAATGTCATTTTTAATAATCTGAGAAATGGTCTCTTGACCAGTTGAACAGAACAGATTATTTTAACCCTTTCATCTTCCTACCTACTAACCAATATTATACTTAATATTTAGAAAACCATCAATAATAGAACAAGTAGTCATCGTCTAATAAAATTTATCATAGATATTTCAGAAATAGGTTAYATTCATTATTGCTCCTCAAATTTTTAATTACAATAAATTTATATTTATGGCCAGTTTTCAGTAGCTATCTARAACAACTAACATTTTGTCAACTACGAAACATAACCTGCTTTCCTATACAGTGTCTGACTTAGAAAGAATAATAACTGAAATAATTTGCTCTTGCCCAAAGTCCTRTAGTAACTTAATTAACTTAAAAAAAATTAATTATCATATAAGGAATAAAGTCTTAAATAATTAAGTATTTAATTCACATTTGCTGGTTTTGTTTTTTAAGGAGAGAGACAAAGCTGCAAGAATTATTCAGTCAGCTGTAATAAATTTTCTATCCAAACAACGAGTGAAAAGAAAGATTRATGCAACACTGGTCATTCAGAAATATTGGAGAAGAGTCTTAGCACAAAGAAAATTATTAATGTTAAAAAAGGAAAAACTGGAAAATGTACAGAATAAAGCAGCAACGGTCATTCAGGTATAGTATCCTGAASAAATTTTTTTAACTTAAACATTTCTAGTAACATTTTAAAGGAAGAAGGAAAAATATGACAAAGTCTTCAATGATTATATATTAGAATTCTTTTTCCAATGTTCTCTCTTAATATCCAAAGATGATTGATTCCAGGACCCCTTTGTGAATACCAAAATCTGCAWTGTATATGATTTGCATGTTATCTATGTACATCTTCCTGTATATTTCAATTTTCTATATTACTTATAATACCTAACACAATATAAGTGCCTTATAAATGGTTATTATACTGTATTGTTGAAGGAATAATGATGACAGGAAAAGTCTGTACATGTTCAGAACAGGCACTTTTTTTTCTGGAATATCAATCTCTTGGTTGAATTTAATAATGTAGAATTCATAGATACAGAAAGCCGACTATATTTGATTTAAAAAATATTTAGCGTCTCCTTACTACCTGTGAATCTCTTTGCTACATTCAGCATAAGACTGAAACATAATTGAAATGCCTTCTTTGTTCTGAAAGGGACAAGACTCTAGTTCTAGGCATCTTGCTGTCTTCATTTTGTATTAGAGATTTGTAGTCTTCCACTGCATGGGACATTGTGGCATACAGCATCACTCTACTTTGAATCCATGTACCTTACCAAGGTATAGCTTTATCTTAATAATGAGTCCTAGAAACTTCTCTTTGGGAACAAATAATACACACATTTTTCTTCCAAGCCCATTTAGTTAGTATATAATGAAAATAGTGCTTATAATTAGTCAATAGAATGTCTATGTTATTTTACTTTTTAGCCAAAATATGTAACATCTATTTAACATAATATGTTCCTTGTGTTGACTATTCTGGGTCCTTTGCTTTTTTGTATAATGTTAGCATCAGTTTGCTGATATCCAAAGTAATTGGTGAGATTTTGATTGAGATTRGATTGAATCAAAATAAAGAATTGACATCTTGATCATTTTGAGTCTTCCTAAACATACATGACCATGGTATRTTTAGATCTAAATTTCTGATATTTCATCAGTTCTGAATTTTTGCTCATATAGATTTTGTACATATTTTGTTAGATATGCACCTTAGCATTTCACTGTTTTGCTACAAGTGTAAATAGTACTAAGCTTATACATTTATTGTTTACTTATTATTCTGAGATTTTTTTCTTTTTTTTCCTTTTTTTTTTTTCTGTAGATTCTTTGGTACCCAGTCCCTATACTGCTCTACTTGCATGAAAGGAAAAAAATATATATATATATAGTAAGAAACAACAAGCCCCTCTCCTAATCAGCAATTTATAGATTGTTTTGGACAGGTTTCTATAAGAATTATCTAGAACTTGATTACCAGTAGCCTGGGATCATGTAGATATCAGCAACTGGAATTGGCTGGAAAGTCTGCAATCCTGTTTGTTGAGCCAACATATTGTTTCATTGACTAAGAAGTTACATTATAATTGTGGCTTTTCAAGAGA